TCTCTCTCTCTCTCTCTCTCTCTCTCTCTCTCTCTCTCTCTCTCTCTCTCTCTCTCTCTCTCTCTCTTGCGCACGCGCGCGAACGTCTCAGCAGCAGAAGAAGAAGACTCTCAAAACACTGCCTCAGTTATCAATCCCACAGTGATCTGCATTCATTGAAACCATCGACTTCGAAGCAAGAGAGGTACAACAAGGTTGGCGATGCGCTTTCAAGGAGGTGCGATCGCACGGGAGCCTTGCTGTCAAAGTCGGTGATAGTCTGGTTGACGGAATCACATGAGCTGCTGTCGCATCGCATGAGCTTACAGAGCGGTTTCTAGTCTCTACGTGAATCTCAGATGATCACAGATTTGGAGGCAGATCCACATTGCATGGTGCAGAGAGGCTTGCTGTTCGTAGACAGACTGGGGAAGCTCCATGCACTCCCCTTAAGCCAATTACGGTACTTGTCTACTACAGATAACATAACACTTGAAGGGCCGAGCGGGTCTCTGAAGGCGCTCCCGAATGGCAGAGTGAGTCTCTGAAGTCTCTCCCCGCTGGGCCCAGCATATCCCTCCGGTGTCCCGTTCATCTACCTGGAGTTTTTTGTTTTTTGGAGTCCTTTCGTTCCTGACACTGGGGGTCGACTCTAACCCCATGCTGCTGATTAACCCCGGTCGCTCTTCGCGGAAGATGAGAAGCCGTTGGACCGTTTCCGCTGAGCTGGCCGCGTGTTTGTCTTATTGTGAAAAGTTGTGTGGAGGAGGAACGCGCTGAAACACCACACGAGAAACTGAGTTAGGCCCATACGGACCTGTAGGGGTCAGTTGTTTCTCAGGGAATGCTCATAGTCGTTTCTTAGGGCATGCTCACACATAGTCACATAGTCGCTTCTTAGGCCATGCTCACACATAATCGTTTCTTAGGGCATGCTCACACTCACACAGTCCTTTTTCAAAAAAACATGATCGCGCATCGTTGTTTCTAAGGGCATGTTCACATCAACACAGTCGTTTATTTTTGGGTTATTAACTTATTGTCAAATTTTGTGCTTTTTCTTTCCCTGGAAAGGGCCAGGTTGTTCATTTTTGGGTTTTTCAACCGTTTTTGACTTTTTTGTCAAATAAGGGTTGGGTTGTTTTTGTACCGACCGGTTTCCATAGCATCGCCTGTCTACCACATCTGCACCAAGGAGCCTACAAATTACCATCCGGCGCAACCGGTCCACATCCTATGACCTACCTCACACCCACATAGTGTCACCTCCACTTTCATTTCTCCTTTTATGTTTTTGCGGAACTGTGTGTTCATACCATTGTAGAGAGCCTTGAACACACCCATTGGCTGTCATATGAATGGGCCGCGGCACGGCAAATAACTTGGGTTTTTTTTTTTTAACTCGGGACATGATGTTGCGCACAACCACAGAATTCAGTGTCATCTTCACCCCGATTGAACGGCCGGTCATTTTCATTGTATCTAGACTGAAAGTTGCCCAGAATACAGCTGTAATGACCCAGTCATTATCACTGTATGTACAGTCTTCCCCCGAACAAAATGCACATTTATTAATCACGAGTAGAACGCATGTGCATTATGCTACAGAGACAGGGTACAAACTTTAAAAAACGAGCCCCCCCAAAAAACTGGTACCCTGTAACCGTATTTGTCCTTTGAGATTAGCATGGCCTCTGTGTGCAAGAATGACATGCATAAATCTAGAAAAAAAAAACACAGCAGCCAGTCAAGAAGCCGGGCGGGAGCAATCGGGAGGAGTGAGCAGGCGGGACCGATCCTGAGGGAGAGTGTGGGAGTGAGCAGGCGAGATAAGGCGGAAACGATAGGGTGGTTCTGTTTGTGTGTGTGCATGCACGTGTGCATGCACGTGCACATGCGCACATGCGCGCGCGCGAGAGAGAGAGAGACAGAGAGAGAGACAGAGAGAGAGACAGAGAGAGACAGAGAGAGAGACAGAGAGACAGAGAGAGAGAGAGAGAGCCACCACCCGTGTGTTTCATTTGAATAAAACACCCATCTGTTCGAATAGAACATACGTGCGTACTATTTCAATGTGCATACTATTTGGATGTCCAGGGCCGACTTTGAGAAACGGACTTTTCCAGGGCAAGCTTCATATAGTACACTAGATGACCCGTTGCGGCTTCGCCCGCAAACACAGAAAAAGAAAAAAGCACAAAAGAAAGAAAACGCATAAGGAACTGCCCTATCATATGCCGCTTCTTTCACAATAAGAAAAAGAAGAGCCTGAGAGCAGACGAAAACCCACGTGCAAGAAAATAGCAGCGAATACCACCGAACATTCTTTTTTCTTTATCTTTGCGTGTTTTGTTTGGGGAGCCGTTACCTTTGCAGCATCGTTTTTGTTTTGTGCTGTGCAAGAACTCTGAACTTTTCTGAGAAAATCCAGTCCGCCGTCCCGTTGATGTTTTTGGTAAAGATTCAGAATCAGACTTTGTTTGCCGTGTTCTCTGGTTATGTTTGTGATCAAGCGATCTTGCA